GTATATATATAATAATAACAATAAAATCCATATACGATAATATACGTGCTTATTATAATGGTCATAAATTAGGGGAAATATCTAATTTAATCTTATTGTAATAAAAATTTAAATCATATTAATAGTATTTAAATAAACATGAAAACATTACGCGCATTTGCGCAGAGAGGCGTTGACGCCAAGTTTCTTCTCTATCTATGGTATTATTATAAGTGTTCCATTGTACTCAAAAAGTTGTGTGATAAATAAATAAACATTATTATTATTAATACACGCGAATACGAGCTTTAAGTACCTTATTTTTAGATTATACTCAATACTGATGAAAAGTATACTGTGAAAGATTATGGTAAACCAAACCAACAATTTGTACTGCATCAACAAAAAACAACGTGCCGACTTATTACATACTGATTACATTACGTTATGTAGGTACTTGAGGCATAACATTGTACTCTAGTCTCGCCTCACATTACGTCCCAGGCGACACAAATGAAGGTTATAGCCGCCAATTGGATTAAATGAATTATGTATATCTGTTTTAATATTTATTGAAAGTAAACAATGGTAAGCAATTTGTATGTGAAAAAAATAAATTAATTCCATACTGTTGGTTAGGTCTTTATCAAACCATCCGGTCAACGTTATTTTATCCGATAAAAGAAATAATATAGAATGTTATAACATTCTATATAATAGTCTGATATATATATCAGACTAAAAGCTATTTTATGTCTTAATTTGGAGCAAATAGGGGGGAAAGGGATTATTAGCAATGGAGTTTGATAGTCCCATTGCTAGCAATATGCCTTATTAGGACGACCTCCACGTGGTTCCCCCTGGAAACCATCGTGAACAATTCTTGTTGAATTCATCACGATGGGCTAACTGACCTACTTCATCCTCACCTATCATCCTTCACTGGTGCCCCGCCGGTGTATACCGATAGCGCGGGTGGGGTTACCATTTCATTATCATCCATTAAAAAAAAAATTAGGAGCAAACGTTACGCATTTATATAATTAAAGAATGTACCACATACAAAAAACCGACTTCAGATATAACAAAACTAGTTGCTTCCATTTAGAATCTAAACTATTAAAAACTAAATTACTGAATCGATTTTGATAAAATTTCTATGGAACTAATCTGTTAGTATATCTTTATAGATAAAAAAAAAATTACAAATCGATTTAGAACTGACGGAGTTATGAAGTGACAACAATAAACAAAATACAACCGAATTGAGAACCTCTTTTTTTTTAAGTCGATCGAAAATTTCATGAAATCGATTGAGCGGTTTTGGACTATGAACGAATATCGTCACACAGGATTTTTATAAATTTCAATAAATTAAGTGTTCTGTCACCGACAGTAACAATAATTGTTTTTACTAAACAGAGATGAGTCAAATTTTGAGATCTTCATCCCATATTATATGGCGTAGGTACCTACTCAAAATTTTTGTAGGACAAATATTTAAAACTTTTTTTTCTTTTTATACAACTTAGAATGGCAAACAAGCTGACAGTCCACCTGATGGGAAGTGGCAACCGTCGCCTATAGACATGAGCAGTACTCTGGACATAACAGAGTATACTGTTTCGCCCATGATACCCCCTATGCGTTGCCATTCCAGAGGACTCAAGTGTTATTGCTAAACTTCTATTATAAATAAAATATCATTGCTAAAAATAATTATCGACTCATTTTAGTTTACGTAAACATAAAATATAATATCATATGTATATAATACTAACCTAATTCACTAATTAAAATTGATGATAAAGCTATTAACTATTTCTAGGAAATAGCTGTTGAAATATGTATTTAGTTTTGATAATTACTTATATAACTGTATGAGTATTGTAAAAGTCATTCACGGAGCGAAGTGTAAAACATGACTTGTTAAAAAATTAACACTTTGGTACACATTTAAACCTACATTGGGGCATGACTAAGTGAAATGAAAATTCATTCGAGTAAGTAGAAATTGGAATGTATTTTTTTTTATACCACTGAGGTGGCAAATAAGCATACGGCCCACCTGATGGTAAGCGGTTACCGTAGCCTATGAACGCCTGCAATACCAGAGGTATAACTTAGATATACTACTAAGTGAAAAATCGAAATCATCAAGCATCTTTTTATGATAGTAATTTACCTTAAATTTTTACCTATACTAAATTTACCTGCTGTGTGATCCCGGCATAGAATGGGCCACTCCTTTGGCCGTGGATGTCGTAAGAGGCGACTAAGGGAATTTAATGGTCAAGAGATGGGCAGCAGTGTCTCACTTAATCGCCTCTGACGACACCCACGGAAGAGGAAGGAGGTGGCCTATTTTATCCCGGGACCACATAGCCAAGGTATTTTTTTATACAACTTAGAATGGCAAGCAAGCTGACGGCCCACCTGATTGAAAGTGGTAACCGTCGCCTATAGACATGAGCAGTATCATGGACATAACAGAGTATAGTTTAGCCCATGATACCCCTCATGCGTTGCCATTCCTGAGGACTCAGGTGTTATTCCTCTGTACCCTGTAAATTCACGCCATATCCCACCCTTCAAACCGAAACACAGCCCTGCAAACACAAACACAACTGCTTCACGGTTGAAACACGAATGAGAAATACCCAAGCAATCAACTTTTTACAAAGTTAGTATATGGTCTACTAAAGTATAACCTTATTTACTAACCACAATTTTGAGTCTCTTACTAACAAAATGGATCTTGTTATTTGATATAAAATAAATTTGAATTAGGAATATAAAGGAATAATTTTATAAATATTATACTTTCTGGGAGCATCAGTTTTTCTGAAGGCTCGAATCCAAGAAAAGACCACGGAAATTAGAAATCACATTCGCTGAAGTTTCTCCTCTTAACTCTTCAAAATCACGAATATTGATATGGTTTTTAGTTTTGAATGGATTTTTTAACACGTATATGCACAATTTGGATCCGTGCTAAGCTGGAGTAGGTCGTTAACACTTTAAAAACTCTTCCAAACCATACAACCATATGTCAACCGGTAAAACTGGCGGATGTATGTTATCTGCACCTGCCTATGTACCATACATTCACACACAAACACATCTACGGACCTATAACACTTGAGACTCGTTTTATTATCACGATTCAAGGTCAGTGCTTTAAGCCAACTTTCGCTTTGTACAACAAGCAAGAACAGGCGACCTTTTTAAAAGGTCCTGCTTGAGATGAATGTTTTTCTTAGTAAATGAAACAGTATAACAATCAAAGAATAGGGAAAAAAATTGCTAGTAATGAGGACTACCAGACCTATTGCTGCAATATGCCCAACTAGGTCGACCTCCACATGGCCCCCCCTGTAAACCATCGTGCTGAATTCCAAAAGTATTCATCACGATGGGCTAACTGACCTTCCTTTTCATCCTTACCTATCATCCCTCACTGGTGCCCCGCCAGCGTACACAGATAGCGTATGCAGGGTTACCATTTTATTTTCACCCATTAAAACAAAAACAGCCCCGTTGCAAACAATATATCCTAACAGGTCGACCTCCACGCGTTTTCCCCTGGAAACAATTGTGGTTGATACTTGAATTTCTCGCGATGGGCTATCTGACCTGCTTTCATCCTCACCTATTATCCCTTCGTAGTACCTCACTAGCGTATATCTATAATACAGGCAGGACCACCATTCCATAATCATCCATAAAAACAAATCCATCAAATGAGTTTACATTTACAGATACCGCAATAAAAATTTTACATTAAAATACTGTATTTTTTCATTTTTTTTTTAGTACGTTTGTTCCATTTGGAACAGGCTAAGGTCGGAGACCATGCTGCCTAGTCTTCAAAAAGATAATTTGTCTGGAATCTGTATTTTTTCAATCAGTCTGCCAAACTCTACGACAATCAAAAAAACAAACAAACGATTGGTTTTTTTTTATGTTTGTTACCTCATAACTCCGTCAGTTGTAAACCGATTTGGAAAATTCTTTTTTTATCTGAAAATATATACTTACAGAATGGTTCTATAGAAATTTTATCAAAATCGATTTACTACTTTCTTCTTTGTTTTTAAGTCAACATAAATAGTCTATGGTATACCTATCGGTGTTTTCAAATATAAAGACATTTTATTTTTTTTTTATTTTAACTATAACATTTAAGTCGATCAGTACACATGTATGACTGTAACTACTAATGAACTGTCAGTTTTCTCATATTGGATTTGCTGGAAGAAATCTCTTTTAGAGATAAGCTCGCATTTGTGCACTATTAAGTTTTTTTTTTTTTTAATACAATAACTTTAAACAATAAAGAATAAAGAATGGTCTTGTCACAATATAAGTCGGTATTTTTTTTTATGGGACACCATCTTTAATTATAAACTTAACATTGTCAAGTCGAAAACATTAGTGATCTTTGAAGAAAGTATTCGATCAGCGAAACTTAACCATTTTGCAAAAGAAACATGGTATGGCAACTAATAATAAAATTTTAAACTTCCCATCTCGATCCGTCCATTTGTTAAATAGGTAGTTACTACATACATAGTACATACCTACCTACCTATATATTTTTTCTGTCGTTTTTAAATTTTTGGTTCACAAAGTTTCTGCTCTAATATATTAAATGACTTAAATGGATTCTTAATTCGAAATAGATCACCATACATAGGTACTTACCACTAGTAATTACAGTTTTACCCTGTATTATTACTTATCTGTGGTTATAAAAACTTGTAAACATATTCGAAGGAACAAAGGAATCTACGCCGACCGACATAAAATTGTAGACTGAATTTGAAATTGTCAAAACAACAACTTGAAAAATTTACAAATTGGATTGAAACATTAGTTTTCGCCTTCTATTTCCGTAATGAAGATATCATTATATTACCATTTTACTTAATTTGAACTTACTTATTTTATAGTAAGCGGATAGATATGTTAATTACTTTGAAATATTACGAAATATCTAACAGACACGAATTACTCACCAGATAAAAGCTGCAGCCAACCGCAAATATGAAACACCGTCGTCGATTGACAAAAGAAGAATAACAGCATTGCACATATTGTAAACAGGGCGAGCGCGACCGCTATTCCCACTAACACGGTCGCAATTTTGAATACCAGCCCATTTATTGATAGGAAATCGTCTAACCGCCCTTTACAGTCCTCCACCTCGTCAGCTTTACAAACTTGCCACAGTCCAAACTTCCTTGGATACTCCGTCTCTAAATCTCCGATCCATTCAGGTGTCACGAATGCAACAACGGCTATAATCGCATAGCAAATCGTAAATATTGCCCAAAGCACACCGATAGCTTTCGAATTTCGAACGTAGTTTGTAGCGTACAGATGTGACGAATCCACGTATTCGATTTTGGAACCCATCTCAACGGTATCCGGTTTTTATATTTTATTCGATCACTTCACAACAAATAAACAACACGTTATTGGTAACACATTTTTCCGGGACACAATTAATCAGACGATCGCACCTAAATTGTTATATTTCGAACAAATAATCCCATTCATGTCGCGAAGGAAAAGTATTATTGCAAAGTATTCGAGGACGTAAGAAACACGACACGAAACTGAGCGAGCACAACCTCTCGCCGCGCGCCATTCGGTTGAGTGCAGGGAAGTGGGGATAAGTAATCAAGCTACAAGTTTGACCTATTGCCTCCATCTTTGGTTTATTTCTTTTGTAACTAACTCTTTAACAATATTTTATAACACTTTAAAGCATTGAAAATCTCAATCGAACTCAGTTTATTAAGTATAGAGTAAATAAATGAAACGTTTCAATTACTATCGACTATTTTTTATTTGAATAACTTAACAATAACTTAACTGATATCATCAGACATCTGGTTATTGGAATGTAAGTGACATCATCAGACATCTAGTTAACGGAATGTGAATTTATGTTAAATCAAACGAAATTTGTTAGTCGATGCTACTAGTGACATCTAGCGTAAGATTGACATATTAAACTACAGTACAATATTAGATGCATGGGTAATGAATAAGCATTTAGGTACAATATTAACAACATTCACATCAAGATGTAGCAATAGTAGTAATAGCAAACGTGCTTACATTGTTGCTTCAAATAAGTATTTATGATAATCAAATAGAACAAAATTTGGTATCTATTCTCGCATAATTATTTCATCTGGTTTATCTTCTAAAGTATTTCCAAGAACATCATTTCCTTCATCTCCATAAGGCAGGTAAATACCGAAACACATCTAAAAGAAATTAGTAAATTTTTTATATTAAAAAAAAGATATTTAAAAACTTATATGTAGTGAAATAAAAAAAATAAGTGACGTTACGTGCTTATATGTCAACGTCATTTGATTGTCAAAGTCAAATAAAAATAAACATTATTATTTCTGTCTTGCTAACTATTGGAACTTTCAATACATTAAAAATACTTAATTTATTCAAGGATTTTTCTTTTATTTTCCTGTTTTAATATTAATAATTGTAAAATATGCCTGTTAAGAATATAATAACTTTGTGATATGAAATATAAAAGATAATTTTTAATAATGTCGGTGAGAGACAAATGGGTCCGCCGGTTTTCGGTGGATGAAACCTCAAGACACAAGAATGGTTTTACCATTTATAAAATTACCTCCGTTGTAAGTTATACCTTATATATATTTTAAGTATTTTATTGAAACGTATTAAATTTTTTAATATATTCTACTCTTATGAATTTAATTTTTACAATCGAAATTAATTTGCGAATGTAGGGTACCCATTGCCAAAATGTTAATTAATTTAAAAAGTTTTTATACCTACTTACTTTCTCTTAAATTCAGTATTATGGTCAGTGGCTTTAGAAATTATATAGCAGGTTAGTACAGACTTTCCAAAGCATGTTTTTTATTGTATTTTTTTATCTAACATTGCGCAATATCTATAATAAATTCATATTTTCTAATTAAAACAAGCATGTAGTATTAAAACTTAAGTATTATTTAAGTGTTATCATTTAAAACTATTTTAATCATAGATATACATATTTATATTAGTATTTTTTTAGAAAATCCTTTATTTTGTGTTACCTTAATTTTTTTAATGTAGCACAGAATAAAGACTAATTTATTTATTTTTTTATTAAAAAGGTATTTTTATAGTCTCATGTCATATAATCATAATATTTACTAGAATTGCATGTTAACTGATAAGCCAATCAATGCATACCAATTACAGACTGATAAGTTTTATCAGCCACAAATGTATGTAAATGCACAAAAGGTATCTGCTTAAGTACCTCTGTTTCATTCATACTCCTGTTGCCAGTGGCTTGTTGTATTTCAGTTTGAACATTAAAATATGACAATAAAGTTACAGTGTATGGAAGCAAACTGTCAATGATGTCCTAATAGGGCATAATTTTTTTACTAATTTCATGTTTTAATTTGATTTAATTGTTAACAATAATGGGGATCTTTGTGCAATGGGGATTACCAATATGAAATAATTTTCTAATAAAGTCAAAATTTTAGTTTATTATGGTCCATGAAATAGTAACTTCATGAAATTTAGTGAAATTATAATAATAGTTTAAGAGATAAGTTTAGGGAAATAGTGCTGCAGAATTTATTTCAATGTATTCATGGGTACCATGGGTATAGAAGTACGAAACAATATATTTCCTTGCAGCCTTTCATAATTTGCTTCATGCCTACATTCTGTTTATGCAGACTTAATTTTTCAAAAGAATATTGTTTACTTTTCCTGCTTTATGACTCACATTACTGAATCATATTTTATCAATTTCATATTTATGTCTTAACTGTGGTGTAATACCTACATTTTAATATACTGATAAGCAAGTTTACCACAAATGTGAAATTGTGATTTCTTTAGATAGATAAATAGATAGTGAAGCAGTTATGTTTGCATGGCTGTATTTCGGTTTGAAGGGTGGGATATGGCGTGAATTTACAGGGTACAGAGTAATAAGACCTGAGTCCTCAGGAATGGCAATGCATGGGGAGTATCATGGACGAAACGGTATACTCTATTATGTTCATGGTATTGCTCATGTTTATAGGCGACGGTTACCACTTTCCATCAGGTGGACCATCAGCTTGTTTGCCATTCTAAGTTGTATTAAAAAAAAAAGATAGATACTCTTTATGTTGTGTTTCCTCCAAAAGATTACAATAATAAACTTATTATAAATATAAAAAATTACAAGAAATAATCACAATGAGAAAACATTTGGCGACCTTATCGCTAAAAGCGATCTCTTCCAGGCAACCTTTGGATGGAGAGGAGTAATTATAAACAGTTTGATGGGAGACAGGATGAAAATTTTATTATTTCTAAATCTTTAGTCTATTACTAAATATTATTACTATTGGGTTTTAATTATTTTGTTTATTTAATAATAATTATCATTCCAGCCCTTAACTGTCCATTGCTGCACATAAGACTTCCCCATAAGGGTAGTTTTGCCAGTAGTTGCCATGCTTGGCAGGTAGGTTGTTAACTGCTGTTCAGCAGTGAACAGTTAAAGGCTGATATGACAGTCATGGTGGTTTCTAGAGGGACTGCAAGGAATGTCCATGGTCTCATTGGTTCCCATTACTAACAATCTCTACTCTTCATGCATGTTAATAACAGAATTAATTTGTTTTAGCTGTTCCCATTGAATCGCCAGAGGCAGTCACTGTAGTATCGGTATGGAAGCGATACAGTGATGTTCAGCAACTTCACAAGAACATGAAATTGCTGCATGCTGGTCTACACTTGCGGGGGACTTTCCCTATTCTTCCGAGGTTCAGTTACTTTAAACGGTTTCAGACAGAAGTGAGTGTATAAAATGTTTTCATAATTTTCAATACTCTGTACTGTTCCCTTCTATAAATTGCTTGAAAAAACTTAGCAAAAATAAAAGTAACCTAAGTTGGCTTTAAAACTTTTGTATTTATAAACAGTCTAGAGATATACATATATCTAAATTATATTTCTGCTAAATCATTTATCAATCAATAAAATTATCTTTCACTACATTATGGTAGTATACAGAAATTTATGTTAATACGTCTCATGGACAGAAGTTGGAAAAGCTGGTACAAAAAGAAATTAGGTTAATAAACAGTTTAAAAGTTAATAAGTGTTTGCATGACTGTGTTTCGGTTTGAAGGGTGGGATATGGCATGAATTTACAGGGTACAGAGTCCTCAGGAATGGCAACGCATGAGGGGTATCATGGGCAAAACACTATACTCTGTTATGTCCATGGTACTGCTCATGTCTATAGGCGACGGTTACCACTTTCAATCAGATGGGCCGTCAGCTTGTTTGCGATTCTAAGTAGTATAAAAATATATATATATAGTTACCTCTAATATAATACAATGTATTTTTTTTTCCTAATTTTTAGTATGTCATAAAGCTTTATTTTTTTTTTATTCATAAATATTATTACATTATTATAGTATATTTATATCCTTATGGGGAAGACCCATGATTAGCAGTTGATAGTTAATGACTGATACAATGATGATGATCTATATAATTTTTTTTTACCTTTCAGGTAATAGAAGAGAGGGCCAGAACAATCAAAACCTTGCTAGAGTTCATAGCTGAGCATCGGCTGCTGTTCACCAGTATGGATTTTGTTGATTTCCTTCAGGTACAAGTATATCATAAATTCCTTCCTTTATTTTTTTAATGGATGGTAATGAAATGGTAATTCCGCTTGTGCTAACGGTATACGCTGGTGGGGGGCATCAATGATTTACACCTGCATTTAGGTTATCTGTATGTTTTGGCCAAGTTACACCTGTCATGGTCATGTGTAAACTGATGTAACACTCATGCCTCTACTCCTGAGGCAGAAATTGTTTCTTCTACCCTCTCAACAATTAAATTATTCGTTAACTACGAACTTTTGCAACTTGAAAGGGTTTATGTACAATTGATATCTCTAATGCTTAACATCTATATTGTTACAATATGAAAATGTAAAAAAATATTGAATTGAATTAAAAGTTCAAAACTCTTTCGAGTTGACCTCCATGACATGACTTCATCCTTACTTAATCATTTCTCACATGTGTCGCGCCAATATATAACGCAGGCGGGATTACCATTCCATTAATATCCATAAACAACCTTATATACATAGACATAAGGAATTGATTATAGTTTATCAATTCCAGACTGGATACCCCGAACCAGAATCTAAGTCTGACGGAGTCATAAACACTATCAGGTCATCTTTACACTTGCCCATTGAGGAGACAACTCCATTGGAGTATCAGACTGATGACGAAGACTCCAGGAGTCCATCTCATTCTGGTAAGATCTATAAGCCCGAAATCTTTACAAAATAAAAAAAGTGAAGAAATTTCAATCTCATCAAGTTCAGTGTTTTATAGATTATAATACTGAATTTTATCACCGGATATTTCACTTTATCATCAGAATCATCACCTTCATCATCATAACAAAATCTATGCTTAGAATTCCGCTGTGAGGTATCTTTTAGGTAAATGCATTCTAATAAAAATTAAATTTAAAAATGTTATATTCTTTTTTAGCAAGAGCACAGCAAACATGCGCTGAAGGGAACCAAACCATAGACTCGGATGAAGTCGACTTTATATCACAAATCCCCATATACGAAGCAGCTGACGTGGAAATACGGGAATCGCCTAAAACTAGCCAAAAATTATCAACCGCTGATAGCTTCGAATCTATAAACTCTTTGGACAGCATAAACAGTCTCTATGATGAACTGAGCAAAGTGACCATAGAGAAATCGAAGCCGTGTATCAAGGACAAATCTGTGTTGCCAGATTTAATAAATTTTGACGCACCGTCGACTTCTAAATTTGAAGATTACCACACGATGCCGAAAACGAGCAATCCAGACTCTGATACGTTGTCTTTAAATTCAAATGAAACGGATTCTAAAAGGAGTAGTTCTAGAATGTCACTGTATAGTAAGAGGAGTGTGTTATCTCTTTCTAACGTTGAAAGTAAGACGAAGACGGAAGACAGTTATGTGTTTGAGGCCGGATACATGTTGAATTTAGCGGCGAGATGCGAAGATATGGGCGATTATCAAAGGGCTTTTGAGTGTTATAAGTCTGGGATCGAAAAAATGCTTATTGGAGTACAATGTGAGTAAATATTTTGTTATTTAGATTTACTTATTATTTATTTAAGTAATTATTCATGTGTATTTAAATCGTTTTTTTTTTGTTTGTTAGTTTTTTTGCTATTGCAACATTTCGTTAATTATTGCAATAAAAAGTAAATATTTAAAAGTATTTATTTCCACTTCGTCTTTTCAATATTATTTGGATGTCAGTGCTTTAGTGTATTCAAACAATGTTGTCAAACATGGACAGTAATGCGGAATTAATAAATATTCCAAACAGAAAATATATTTTTGAAATAAAAAAAAGTAGCGTCTTTCAAAACGGGAAGTTCATGGATAATGTCTGTATTTTTTGTGTCTATGTTGTAATTACGTCACCAATTCTAAACATATATTTGTTAACTTTTAAATCTTACGGATATATTTGGATATCTGTAAATTTTAACGCTGCTGGTGCTGTGCCTTTCTTTGCGCTCTAAAATTCTCATAGACTTTCAAAGATTCAAATTTAGAACGTGAAATCGCGTTTCGCGTTCTAAATTTGAATATTTACAATGTAATGCATCTACGAAATATATAGTTTTTTTTTTAAATGTACTAGTTACGTAGTTTCCTTTTTCATGTACAATCTGTGTCGATAATGCTCGTCATAGTATCGATAACATATCAGCGGCAGTTTGTGTAACGATCTAGCGTGCGGTACACGTGTACAATGGACTTTTTATATTTACACCATTATTTATTTGGGGTAGACAGACCTGCAAATATTGTTGAGTGTAAGGATATTATAATTTAGACAATTTTAGATTTTATACATCTGCTGAAAATATGTGGTTCTATCCTCACTTCTGTACATAGTATAAAAAAAATCTCATCCCGCCGTCTATACCTTCTGTATGTAATTTTTTTTTTTAAATCTTGAATACGATTTTCGTCAATAGATAGAGTGATTCAAGGAGGTTTATTTCCTATAGTTTAATATTGTTTCGTGTAAATTTGTTGAAATCAGGGATTGTTAGTAGTTAGATCCAAAAGACCCATTGCTAGCAATTAGCAATATACCCTAACAGGTCAACCTCCACGCGGTTCCGTCTGGAAACCATCGCGGTAAATTTTTGAAGAATTCATCACAATGGGCCAACTGACCTGCTTCATCCTCACCTATCATCCCTCACTGGTGCCTTGCCAGCGTATACCGTTAGCGCAGGCGGGGTTACTATTTATTTTTAATAATTATAAATAATTTTTATTCAAGTAAAATTAATAGTAAGTATTTTTATAGTCTTTTTTTTTTATAAACTACCACCCAGTTCGGAATGCAATTTCAGCCGAGAAGAACGGGCAAGAAATACAACTGATGTTTTTTTTTTTTTAAAAAAAAAGGTAAATTTACAATAAAAGAATTATGAATGAATAAAATGACTATCACAAACTTCGTATTTGTATTGAAAAAGAAAATAGCTAATAATATTCCATTATCATCCATTAAAAAAAGTTCACTACAGAATTAACTATTATGTATAACTCTTTTCTCCTACATTCTTCACGACTCTGGAACGCGCTTCCTGATGCCATTAAGAGACTACCGACTAAACCGTCTTTCAAAAAAAAAACGTTCACGCTCACTTTTTTACTTTATCCGAGCAATAAGTGCTTTATATTATTCTCAATTTCGTGTATAATATAGTATGTATCATATATGTGTAAGTATATTTGTTATTCATATATATTTATTCGTTTATATATGTAATTTTAGTATGTATGTATATCAATAATTACTAGTACCGCATTCGTGTATTCTGACACTTGCCTATGGTTGACTGGGAGAGAATGCTTTTAGCATTAAGTCCGCCGTGTATACATATATGTACTAATGAATAAATAAATAAATAAAATTTATAAATATGTACAAGTGAATTATTTCAACCGATTGTTTTATTATTTAGCCTTATGTAATAAATTAATCAAAGCTTTTAGATTAAATATTGCGTTAAATGTGATTATATACATATATCGAAAAACATCACACCCCTTTATTCACAGTCGGTTAACTTTTTTATTTTTTTCTTTCACAGCCGATACCGATGCCCAAAGGAGGGCGTTAATTAAAGAGAAAACCAACAAGTATTTGTCGTATGCTGAGGCGATTTATAAAAATCACCTCTCCAATGCAGAACAGAGTGTAAGTATATTATCGTCATCATCATCATCATTAGTTCAGGCTGCTTTAGGGCTGATATTCCTGAAGAAGGTAAAAACTGAGGACTCAGGTGTTATTCCTCTGTACCCTGTAAATTCGCGTCATATCCCACCCTTCAAACCGAAACACAGCCATGCAAACACAACTACTTCACGGTTGAAACACGAATGGGGCAGAGGTACCCAAGCAATCGACTTATTAATAAATTAATCTGTTGATATTTGACCTCTCTTTTCAACAGTTGCTGCCAGAGCGGGACGATAATGTGAGACCGCTACACTGTCCCATACCGATATCGATGTTGAAGCGGCCGTACGAAGATCTAGCGCTGTACAGAGTGCTCGCCATATTGGGCTCCAGTATAATGCTGGTGTTACACAAGACTGAACAATCGTGCTATGCTATGAAGGTACAAATTTGCTTGTATTGTGGTATTGATTTACGTTTTTTTTGATGTGCGAAAATGGTTTGGTAACCCCGCCTGCGCTAACGGGATACGCTGGCGGAGCACCAGTGAAGGGTGATAGATGAGAATGAAAACAGGCCAGTTAGCCCATCATGATGAATTCATCTGGAATTAACCATGATAGTTTCCAGGGGGAGCCGAGAGGAGATCGACCTGGTTGGGTATATTGCTAGCAATAGGATTCTCAGTCTCCATTACTAACAATCCCTTTCCCCCCATTGATTTACGTTATATGGAATTGGACGCTTCAAATTGGTCTAGCAAAAAAAAATAAGTGTTTCCATTCTTTTGCCGTAGTGTATGTATTTTGATATCTCCATGATGCTGTTCGTGTTTATAGGTGATGAAAATCACTTTCCATTAGGTTGGTCGTGTGATCCCGGCATAGAATGGGCCATCCCTTCCTTTCCCATGGGTGTCGTAAGAAGCGACCAAGGAAGCTTAATGATTGAGGTAGTTTGCGGTACAGTATTTAAGGCATTCCGTCGTCGCTATTGGATACGGGTGACGGAATGTCTATAGCAGAGGGTGCATGGTGTATTCAAATGGTCGAGGTGTGGACAGCAACATCCCTCTTTAAACATCACAAAAAACCAAACTGCGTTCACCAACCAGCCTGCCAAGTCTGGCAGGTACTGAAAAATCCTGCCAATAGTAAACCATTAGGAATGGCCCCGTTTTTTATAATAATCTATGCGGGAGGTCTATGTCCAGCAGTGGACAAATAACAACTGATATGATGATGATGGTGAACAGGTGGGCCATCACCTTGTTTGCCACTTTAAGTATTATGAAAAAAGGAATATCCACCACGTCAGGTCTAGTATTTTACAGAGATATTTGTGGTCACAAATATCACTCATGTAAAGAAATGAACACAAAATTTGGTAAAATGGTCTCGATAAGAGATGGGTAATATCCAATATCTATATATTTGAGTTCTTCTGGAGGCCACCTTCTTGATAACCTATTGCGATATCGCCCATGCCAGTGGGATATCTATGTTCATAATAAGTGGATTCTTCTTTGCAATATATATTGGATAACCTGTTATTGGGCCAATATATGTATAGATATTGTAACTACAATATATATATATTGCTATATATTACCCACCGTTAGTCTCTATGCACGTGCTCTTTTTTTCTCTGGATGTTTTTTTTTTTTTTTAATTAATCAAGGGTTGTAGTTGATTATGAATTTGTAATATTAACTAATTCTTTAGCAGAAATTGTTGAATTGTAAACAAAAATATTGTTTTTATTTTGCCCTTACTGCCTCCTGGTGTATCTATTTTGTTCAGATATTTATCTGGATAAAAGCGGGTAGCTCTTAATTTGGTGCAAACAATACACATTTACAAAATTTCATTAAAATCGGTTAATCCGTTTCGGAGGTTAGAGTGGATCAACATTTGTGAATACGAAATTCCGTTTTTTTTTTTTTATATATATATAATGATAATTATTTCAGGTGATACAAAAAATACCAAACAACCTAACAGAATTCGACGAGTACTTCCTGCAGCGAACGAATGAAACTCGCCAGCCCATTCTACCCACTGTCATCCCTTACATGGTACCACTACAAGCTTATATAGAAACGAACAATTTGATATTTCTCATACTGGCGTACGCGCCGGGCGAGAAATTGTTCGACTACATAAAAAACTATGCGAAATCCATCCCTAATACACCAGCAAGAGGGTTGAATTTAGAAAATGTATTCTCTGAACCGTTAAAAACTTAACGGTTGATATAGAGAATGACAATATTAATGTTGATGTTAAAACATTAGAAATACCAAGTGCGGTGAATGTTAACAATAACCAGAGCACGAAGACTGATAGTTTGGACAATGTTGAGATATCGGTGAAAGAGCTTGTGGTGAATTCACAGAAGTTACTGTCGAATGTTGATAAGGTGTTGAGTGATTGTAAGTTAAATGTAAGCGACGTCGCTACTGAGGATAAAGTGGATAACGTTGAGAGACGAAAAGTGGATAGTCCGTGTTTCGATCGGGTGAGTTTATTTTTAACAGTACATACTGGTCCTTAAAACAATAGTTTCAGTGTAATATCAAATTGAAATTTTATTTCTGAAATAGAGATTTATTTATTTATAGAATCACCAACTTAATTTACAGCTAAGCATTTCAATACAATACACTAGTGGATTAGATCTAACTGTTCTTACATTTACAAGCATAAACTTAGAAATTGGCTGTTATGTAATAATTTTTATACCATCAGTGAATATTTTACTGAAAAAAAAAACAAATGCACTTGACAGTCTATACTGGAGTTGTGATTGACACTTTGGCTCTTGTTTTCTTTTCTATTTACTGCAATAAATTATGTGTGTGTTAAACAGTATGCCTAATAAGGGGAAATATAATGTAGAATTATGTAAATTTTTCATATTGTTAATAATTTGCACGCCGACATACGAGGCAGAATGTATATGGGAAATGTAAACCTCTTTCATCGAAAACTACCTACATTCTAGCAAAATAAATTAATTTAATTTCTTTTTAAAAAAAAAAAAGCAACCACAGTATGCTTTGTGTTTGAGAAACATTAAAATGGAATTAAATTAATACATGTTATTAAATGAATAAAAGATACTAGAGTTTTAGAATTGACAAGAGTAGACCAATGTCCATCAGCAGGTTTTAAAGCCTGGACAGATTAGGGACATATATTTATATATAGGGGCATTCGTCCACACGTCCTACCATGGAATGGGTCACACCTTTTTTCCCGTTGTGTTAATTTTTGTTTAAAATTGGGATCATTAGCATCATTAAAAAAAAAAAAAAAAAAAAAAACTCAAAATCTTAATTTACACAATTCTAAAAAAAATATTTTTTAAAAATGACAATTTTTTTCTACCTCCATACTAATATTGCAACTGTCAAATTAGTATGTATGTGTATGTGGAGTCTTTTTTTTACACAACTTAAAATGGCAAACAAGCTGACGGCCCACCTGATGGAAAGAAGTAACCGTCGCCTATAGACATGAGCAGTACCATGGACATAACAGAGTATACTGTTTCTCCCATGATACCCCCCGTGCGTTGCCATTCCTGAGGACTCAGGTGTTATTCCTCTGTACCCTGTAAATTCACGACATATCCCACCCTTCAAACCGAAACACAGCCGTGCAAACACAACTGCTTCACGGTTGAAACACGAATGGGACAGAGGTACCCAAGCAAACAACTTTTGTACAAAGTCTCCCTTTAAAATTCTAAATACAAGCGGACAAAGTCCTTGGCCGTGGTGGTAGAACTAGTACTTTTTTTTTTTATTTTGTTGTTTTACAGGTGTCGCCACGTCCTCGCGATGTGTTGCCACCGTCGGCGGTCTGCAAATGGGCGGCGGAGATACTGACAGCTCTTGAAAGTCTACACAATAGCGGCGTCGTATGCAGGTGAATATAAATAACTGTTTACATTAATTTATTATCGTAAACTTAAAGAAGAAACAATAAATAATTGCTTGGGTACCTCTGTCCCATTCGTGTTTCAACCGTGAAGCAGTCGTGTTTGCATGGCTGTGTTTCGTTTCGAAGGGTGGGATATGTCGTGAATTTACAGGGTACAGAGGAATAACACCTGAGTCCTCAGAAATGGCAACGCATGGGGGGTATCATGGGCGAAACAGTATACTCTGTTATGTCCATGGTACTGCTCATGTCTATAGGCGACGGTTACCACTTTCCATCAGGTGGGCCGTCAGCTTGTTTGCCATTCTAAGTATCTTTAGTTAATAATAATTTTCTTTGTCCACAGAGATCTAAACCCTTCAAATATTCTATTAGGAGACAGAGGCCAGATAATTTTAACATACTTCGTTAGCTATCCCGGATTAGATATGACTCTGTCCAAACTACAGACGAATACGGACAACGTGAACATGTATATAGCTCCGGAGTTGTATGTAAACACATTTGTCGACGAGAAAGATGAATCCCTGGATAGAGTATGTGATTTTTGGAGCTTTGGTGCTATTATGTATGAGTTATTGTGCGGAATGGTGAGTTTTAAAATTTTTATATTGGGTTCCATCGCCACCAGAGGGCATCTTTTTTTATAATATGTAAAAATGGAATGGTATGGTATGGAATTGATGGACTCCCGTATGTGTGCCTCGGCTACGTCTCGGCCCACATTTGCACGTTCGTCCATCAATGCCTCAGTTGCTGACCGCTGCAGTAATGTACTATTATTCTTCATTTGTTGTTTCCAGCCGCTGTCTTATTACCATAGGAGTGTATTTTCAAGTCACACCATCCTGCAGCTACCGGACGGATTGTCACTGGAAGTGCAGTCACTGCTTACACAGGTATGGATTAATACTACTAAGTATAATACTAATTTTAGCCTGCTACTTCGTTCGCATGGATTTCAGTAGAAAAAAACAGTAATAAACCACTTTTTAATGGCGTATCAATTGAAAATATGTACCAGATTTTAAATTAGACCTTCAGGAACACAACTGTCTAATCTAATCTGGTCCAGTACTTTTTAAGTGATACCGGTACAATCATACAGACAGACATTCCATTCCATGTAGAGATATAGTTTAGTTATAATCGTATTATAGATAAGACAGTTTATATGTATGTATATGTATATACCGATACGATATCATAACCTTCAAGAAAAGAGTTCCTTTTTAAACGTAGATGCATATATATATATATATATATATATATATATATATATATATATATATATATATATATATATATATACATTTTATTGATTAATAAAATGTGGTACAAAAAGTATCAAAAAACAAATAAATCCAAATAATATGTTATTATTTTCAGTTATTAACATACGAACCGTCAGAACGCTTAGGCGCCGGGAGGGATGGGATAGAGGAGATAAAGCGGCACCCCTACTTCAAAAGCATCGACTGGCAAGGCGTTTACGACAGTTGGATAGTACCGGATTGATGCAATAACGTCGAAAGTATAGATGTGACCAGAGAAAAATGGCTAAGTGCAATGTAAAATGAATCTCACAATTCTATAGTGTGTCTCATTAGAACTACATGTTAAGTAGGCATGGGTAACATGGATACCGGGCCGATATCTATATATTGGGTTTCTGGACATTGATGGCGGGAAAAAGGTCATCACCCACTTCGATATCGCCCATATCGGTCGGATATCTATTTTCGAATATGTTAAAAGTCTGTTATCCAATATTTTTTTAGATAACACTTTTAACATATTCGTTATTGGACCAGTATTATAGCATACATATATATAGATATTGCACAATAAATAGATATTGCTATATATTATCCACTCCTAATGAAAAGGTAACAAAGTTGAAATTATAACAGGAACACTCTCTAAATGAAGTTAGTAACAAATCGAAACATTCAATCGATCAATCGATTATTTATTTAATAATTATAATAATAATTTTACATGCTGTGATTTTGGATATAAAACATTTGTACTACTCTTTGACAACAGCTAAGTGTTTTGTGGTCGGTTCAATTATTTGTTTGTTTACATTTTAATTAAGTTCTGTTAAATTTGACTTTAATAATTAATTTAATTTGTTAACGACTAGATATGACAATGTCACAGAGGTTAGTGGTCATGCTTTTGTTAAAAATAAGATATTTATCCGTCTCATTCATAAAATCATACATATCTGTCACGCCTGTCTCCCATTGGGGTAGGCAGAAACAATGGAACGCCAAATGCTTCGATTCAAACAAACCTCTTTCGCATCCTCCACATTCATCAATCGTTTCATACACGCTCGGTGATTACGGGTACTTTTAATTTGGCCCTTCTTCAGCACGTCGCCTATTTGGTCGACGTACGTCCGTCTAGGGCGGCCCCTACCGACATCTCCATTCATTTATGCTCGATAAATCTCTTTCGTAATTCTTCTTTCATCCATCCTCTCCAAATGGTCCCAAAGCAACATTCCTAACAATAATATTAACTCTATTGTACACCTATTTTGCTATTGTACTATTTTGTCTCGTTCTTGTGTACTAAATTCCTAACTTGAAAGAAAGTAACAAAACAGTCTAATAGTTGAAATAGGTTTGAAGGTTTTAGTTTTTAATGAATAAATGCATTTATTTTTATTAGGTCTCCCAACAATGGTTAACATTTAACTGTATTAGTGTAATACAGTTAAATGTTAAGATGTTAAGACTAGTGTCTAATTATAATTAATCATATTCGAGTGATGGCGGTAGGCTCGCCTGTTGTTATTTGACTCGAATTGCTCGGCGAAATGTGTAATATTATGTTCACCATAACGGCAGTTGATTAACGCCTATAATATATATGTATATATGTATATATATATATATATATATATATATATATATCTTATCATCTTGCTACCCTTATCCCAATTATTATTTGGGGTCGGCGTAATATGGTTTTATCCATATTACAAAAGGATTTAGCTTATAGTTTTATGACCGGCCGCCTGCCTGACGTCAACCCTCTTTGGGATATATATATATATATATATATATATATATATATATATATTACTTTTGTTTAAAATAACATAATAAAGTATAATTTTCAGTAAAAACCACTTTTGACCAACCTGTTCAGTCAAAAGTACTTTTGACTGGTTAAGAGTTCTATTTAACAGTAGAATCATAATAATTACTAATTGTGGCTGCCAACACGCCTGCCAAGCGTGGCAACCACTGACAAAACCCCCCACGGGGATGGCTTATGTTCAGCAGTGGACATTAACGGCTGACATGACGATAGTACGGATGTATTATTTCTTCTTTGTATTATTTCTTCTTTCTCTTCTTTTCTCTTCTTTTGTATTATTTCTTCTTTCTCGTTATTGTCTATGACCAAAAGTGAGCATTTTAATTTGGTGTTTGTAATTGACAAATAGTTGTGATAAATTAGCATAATAAGTACTTATATATTTAGTTTTTTTTTTTTTTGGATGATAATGAAATGGTAACCCCGCCTGCGCTAACGGGATACGCTGGCGGAGCACCAGTGAAGGGTGATAGATGAGAATGAATGATTACTCTCGTGATCCTAGTAGTCCAAGACCGCAATTTGCTTTTTTCATCACCTATCATCCCTCACTGGTGGCGCGCTAGCGCATACTGTTAGCGTAGGCGAGGTTACCATTCCATTATCACCCATTAAAAAAAATATAATACCCCTAATTATAAAGTTCTCCTGTTGAAATTAAGCGCGTTCTTTTAAAATAAGTTGGTGTATTTCTAGTCGTAATTTGGAAATTAAATTCTAAATTGTTCACATGAAAGTATTACGTGATTATGTATTTATTAGTTTTATATTTATTTATATTAGTACAAAAAAAATGTAGTTACTATTGAATTTAATAAACAATAAAATTGAGTGAAACTGTATTATTTTGTTTTATTTTCATTCAATGGCGTAACTTTAGATAGAATTTATTTGCATTACTAGCACGAAAATAATAACAAACATAGATACACATACATGATAAAAAAGAGAATATATATATATATATATATATATATATATATATATATATATATATATATATATATATATATATATATATATATATATATATATTATATATATATAATATATATATATATTATATATATATATATATATAATATATATATATATATATACACACACACATATATATATATATATATATATATATATATATATATATATATATATATATATATATATATATATATATATATATCTCAGGTTATAGAATAAGCTCCCTTTCGAGGATTTCCCAAGAGACTACAGCATGGGGTTCTTCAAAAGGGGGGTAAAGAGGTTTCTTCAGACTGAATCCAATTTCGTAGTGAAGGACTCCCGTCTTCGCTACTGCTGCCTTCTGAGCTGTAGAACACAACCTAATACCTACAGATCAGTGTATTTTTTCAGTTCATGTAGCGATCTCCGTTATCCATGGAGACATGTTCTAGGCTCAGGACCGTTCTTTATGGCAATCTATAAGGGAAGCTTATGTCCAGCAGTGGACGGATAATGGCTGAAATGATGATGATGATGATAAGTCTTGGATCATATTTTTAAAAGGAGGGGTTTCTCAATTCATGTGTGTTTTTTTTTTTTTTGTTAATTTATTCTTGCTAATTAAATGAAGAAATGGCAAACCGGTTTCACACTTCCACGGGCGAAAGGAGAGGTGGATGCAAGAGTTAGGGGGAAAGACTTTCCCCAGCGGTAAGACAGTATAGGCTATGAATGATGCTGAGGAACACTACAAACTATATACTTATTCTAACTACCACATCAAGATTTCTAGTCGTGAGCATACTTTGTTTCGGCATTACATGAAAACTGCTGATAGATAGATAGATAATTTATTTGCATTACTTACAGCACACAAATAACAATACAAACATACACATAGTACAGACATACACAGTAAAAAAATATAAAAGAATGAAAAACAAAAAAAAGCAACAAAACAAAAAAAAAATACACAAAGCAAAATATATAAAAAAACTTTCCTTCTTTCATGCGTGTGCCATAGTAACACTAAATGGTCACTGTATCGAACTTTGTTTTTTTAATTTTTTTATACAACTTAGAATGGCAATCAAGCTGACGGCCCACCTGATTGAAAGTGGTAACCGTCGCCTATAGACATGAGCAGTACCATGGACATAACAGAGTATACTGTTTCGTCCATGATACCCCACATGCGTTGCCAAAACTGCATGCAGTTTTCAAATTTGTTTATCTGAAGGTCAAATATAAAACCTGATGTCTGTTATAATGTACATATATCATTTATTTCCAAACGCCACGCGTACGAAGTCGCAGGCGGAGTTTAGTATACAATATTAAACGGGAAATCACGTAGATATGTTGACGGAAGTGGGCGGCGGTGTACGTGAGTGACAGCCCGCGGTTTCTACACAATACGCAACAACAATCGATACTGTTTTGTAAAACTCTCTGTGTTCTATCATTATATTATATCATTCATGATTCGGCTTTGATCGGTGATCTAAATTATTTAATACCGGAGGGAAAGGGATTGTTAATAATGGGATCTAACTGACTCCATTACTAACAATTCCTCGATCAATCATGGGCGAAACAGTATACTCTGTTATATCCGTGGTACTGCTCATTTCTATAAGCGACGGTTACCACTTTCCATCAGGTGGGCCGTCAGCTTGTTTGCCATTTTAAATTGCATAAAAAAAATCTATGTAATCTATATAATTCTAGTGGAATTCGTCAGGATGGGCTAACTGACCTGCTTTCATCGTCACCTATCATCTAATATATCTATACGTGTACCAAATTCCATTCAATTCTGCTCAGTAGTATTTGCGTGAAAGAGTAACAAATATGCATTAATTGTTACAAATTTTCGCATTTATAATATTAATAGACAAATAAAAAGAAAGGAATTCGTTTTTCGTTTTTAATGGATAAAATTAAAAAAAAAATATTCAATCAATTTTAAAAATTCTTTCGTCTATAGAAAGCTCCATTTTCAGTAAGTGAGTTGTATTAGAAAAAAAATAGAGACCTACCTGTCTAACTATGTAAAGTAGGGGCGGCTCGTGAGTATAAAAAAGGAAAAGTTTTAATTGTGCATTAAATATGTAAATAGTTAATTGAGACCAATCTCTATATTTTACAAATAAGTTAACGAAGTTTCAGCTTTTAAATAAAACAACGCCAATTGTAACATATCATCACTAGATGGCATTAGTATGATCACAACAAATATCTTACTTAAAATTAACTACGTTGAAAAATGCTTTATTTTTTACATAATATCGAAACATCCTATTTGTAATTCTCGTAATAATGTATGAAAAATGCTCACAACTGCAATGATGAGGTAGACAAAATCACTTGTCGAAAATACCCTTTGTGATATATTTTTATTTCTAAATCTAAAACTTCAATACAAATTTAATTTTTAAATAAAATCCAGTTCCAATAGATGTCACTGTATTGATAAAAATAATCGATGGACGCATTGCCTCGCTCATAAATATTTGCAATTCTAATGCTGAAATGTGACAGTTGGATTGAGTTATCTCAACTATTGATTTTAGAATATCAATCAACATTCTACACGAGCTTTCGATACCATCCACCATGCACGGCACATACCTACCTGCCAGCCGAGGCCACATTTCTTTTAAGGTGAACAACTCCGTAATACTTCGTTTCCGTACTATTGTAAACATTATTCCCCACGCAATAAAGCCTATTATACCTTCTGTATATTTGCATTCGTTTAAACTTCTCTAAAAACAAAATTCTGTCATATCACGAAAGCATTTAGATTGATATTTCCTTAATGCAACGATTGTGTATAGTATTCTTGAGATGCAATCGTTGAACAGGTAATTTTTTATTTTACTGTTAAGCGTTAAGGTTGAAATTTAAATATTTTATTCTATATTCATGATATAAGCCAGTTTTACACGAGCGTGTTCTCGAGATAGCTCATTTACGAAAGACAACTACCATTCAAACTTGTTTGTGTAATAACACGATCTTCGGAGAATGCAAGACGCCGCCGATTGGTCGTAGGCAGTCGTTCCTTCGCCGAAGGAAGGCGCAATCGTATTGCGCATGTGCAGCACAGTTTTTGAATTTAGAATAAACATTTTTTCTTGTGTGGGTGCGTTCGTGTTTGAAATAAAAAACTTTTTGAAATCGTTAACTAATAAAATTCTGGACTTTTATTGTGTGACAAGTAAATTGTGTGTTAATTCCAAAGGAATTTCTTAACACTTAAACAGGTTTGCAAACCATCGAGTGTTTTTATAATGGATATTGTAACATGTATGATTTTATAATAATCATTTGAATGTTTTTAGAATACGTGAGTTGTATTTTCGAAGTGTTTACATTGTAATGTAATCTTTACTTGGATTCTAATATACGGAAAGGTAAGTTTTATTTTGTTTCGACAATCATTTATTAAATTGTTTGTAAAAGTTATTTATGTATAAAAACATTATAAGTATTTTTTCCTAAAATAATGTATCTATCAATTATATTTTATTAATCTACTGGTTTATGGCAACCCTCCACTAGATGGCGTTATAACCTCAGACTTAGTGTTTTTTATATGGTTGATAATGAAATGGTAACCCCGCTTACTATTTAAACTGGGGGGGACAGGGATATTAGTAATGAGATTTAACAGGCCCGTTACTAGCAATATACCATAATAGGTCGATCTCCACATGGTTCTGGAAACCATCGTGTTTAATATTTAAAAATTCATCACGATGGGCCAAATGACCTGTTTTACTCTCACCTATCATCCCTCACTGGTGTCCCGCCAGCGTATACCTATAGCGCAGGCACGGTCACTATTACATTTATCATCCATTAGTTACCATCTTTGTAGAATTATAGTTAAATACGGGTGAATATTCTTTATTCAATTATTCTTCACTAGAACTTCACCGACGTATACCAATAGCTGAGGCGAGGTTACTATTTCATTTCATCCATATAAAAAAATAGTAGACGTGACATTGGCATGCCTAGGCAGGTGTGTATATTGGCAGCAATTTTATTTATTTACTAAATGACTCGAGAGACCTTGTTTTTAAATTTCTAAACATTAAAAGAAGGGGGGGAAAGGGATTGTTAGTAATAGAGACTGAGAATCCCATTGCTAGCAATATACCCAACCAGGTCGACCTCCTCGCGGTTCTCCCTGGAAACTATCATGGTTAATTCCTGATGAATTCATCATGATGGGCCAACTGGCCTGTTTTCATTCTCATCTGTCACCCTTCACTGGTGCTCCGCCAGCGTATCCCGTTAGCGCAGGCGAGGATACCATACCATTTTCACACATAAAAAAAAAAATCCTAACTGCGGTTGCCAACCCATCTGCCAAGCGTGACAACTACTGGTAAAACCCCGCCTTATGGGGGGAGGCTTATGTTCATCAGTGAACAGTTAACGGCTGGTATGATGATGAATTATTCTTAGGAATTATATTGTGACACTATATTTAGGCAAAGTCTTCTTTTTCCATATCATAGCATAGCAACTTAGTGATCACCTTGTTTCATCCCTTCACTACCCAAATATCTGAAAGAGATTACTTAAGCAATCAGGTCCGTACATCCTATACTTTTTTTTTATATATCTTTGAATGATTGAATGAATGAATGAGTATACTTTATTTGCATTATACAATATAGGTAATAAACAAGACAATTTACAAACACAACGATACAATTGTATAAGTACAGTAAGGCGGTCTTATTGCTGAGAGCAATCTTTTCAAGACAACCTTAAGGTAATGGACTAATTGTTGTACAAGTAGGTATGATAGTGCTTTATAATTAAAAAAGCATCTTTTGCAGATTAAAAATATATAAAAATTATATACATATATACACACATATATACACAATCACATATATATACATATCAATCAAACAAAATTATATAATCCCATGCATATATGTTAAATATGTACCCAATACTATTTAACATAATCTTTGTATTGTTATTTAACTAGTACATAATATTAATAATAATATAAGCCTTTATTCAGACAACATTTTTTTTTTTATAACAACTTATTATTGTGTTTCGGTTTGAAGGGTGGGATATGGCGTGAATTTACTGGGTACAGAGGAATAACACCTGAGTCCTCAGGAATGGCAACGTATGGGGGATATCATGGGCGAAACAGTATACTCTGTTATGTCCATGGTACTGCTCATGTCTATAGGCGACGGTTACCATTTTCCATCAGGCGGGCCGTCAGCTTGTTTGCCATTCTAAATTGTATAAAAAAAAAATATATTTAATTGCTGCTTATTAGCAAAGGCTTCCTCCAACTGCCTCCAATGGTCTCTATTGCTAGCAATTCTTGTCCAAATTCCACCTGCTTCAGCCTTAATGTCATCTACCCATCTTCTATGTGGTCTTCCTCTTCTCCTCTTTTTGTCTTTCGTGTACCAAAACATTATCTTTTTACTCCATTCATCTCTCCCTCTAATTGTATGCCCTGCCCATTACCATTTAAGTTTTTTTAACTGTGACTGTAACATCTTTAGTTTTTATGTGTTTTTTAATTCTGCCAGTTTTAATTCTGTCTGATAATCTTATCCCTATCATACTTCTTTCCATGGCATTCTGGCACTTTTGTTTTTTTAAAGTGGGATTTGGTAAGAGCCCAGGTTTGGCAACCTTATGTAAAAACTGGTAAAATACAGACTTCAAATAGTTTACCTTTTAAGGCTGTGTATGTCATTTTGCTTTTAAGCATTTCCTTTAGACTCCAAAATCGTTTCCAAGCATTTCCTATACGTTTTTCAATCTCCTTTGTAGTTAAGTCTGTTGGTGAAACTAGTACATTAAATAATAAATGTATAAAAGTAATTTAAAACTTAGACTAGGCTACTATTGTTCAAGCTGCGAAGGTCATTTCATAGGTAGACCAATTTATTGGCGTAGAATGGAGTGAAGGTTTTAGCAATTTAGCCTTTAGTTAGGTAGAGGTGTATATTGTACAGCTATAAAAACTTAGACAATTTTGCCACCAAACAAAACTCTAAAACAAAACAGACAAAACTTATACCCAACCAGGTCGACCTCCTCGCTGTTCTCCCTGGAAACTATCATGGTTAATTCCTAATGAATTCATCATGATGGGCTAACTGGCCTGTTTTCATTCTCATCTATCACCGTTCACTGGTGCTCCGCCAGCGTATCCCGTTAGTGCAGGCGGGGTTACCATACCATTTTCACCCATCAAAAAAAAAACTGTACAGCTACTAATAATTTATTATTTATGGTATTATTTTTGCACCATATATGTTATGCTTTATTTATATACAAACCCTATAGACATTTTCTCCTTTCGGGTTCTCAGGGTTGACTGGAAGAAGTCCCTTTAATGGATAAGTCCGCCTGTGTACATTTTTGTTATATACTTAATATCTATACTATAAGTGTATGTACTAAAACATATAAATAAATAAGTTTTAAATAACAGGGTCCCAGTTATTAGCCGGCTTAATAAAGGAGGTAGTTTTCATTTCGGTTGTATTTTTTGTTTTCAGATCTCCGTCATTTAACAATATCTTGCCCCCAGAAGCTATATAGTTAATAACAGAGTATAGATAAATAAAATTTAAATACTGAATAGAATAGAAATTTATTATTTGATAACAACACAAAGTTACAAACACAAGATACTTAGCAGGGATTTTCCGCAAGAGTCCAACACCTCCGTGCCTTTATTGCAAGCGTCAGGCGGTAACAAAGGCACATAAAAGAGAGCCCTAACTCAACCATAATATTATCATTTACATAAAAAGCGAATTACGTAAGAGAAAGTTGTTGAACAGCATCGACGGACAGATAACAAGAAAGCTATGAACGCGCGCCAAAATACTGATAAAGTATAGATTTTATTACCATTTTCAACCGATTTCAAAAAGAAGAAGGTTCTCATTTCGGTTGTATTTTTTATATGTTAACAAACATCTCACAAGTCCGTCAGTTAAATATTTTTTTATAGATTTTTATTTGGAATGATACACACACATACACGCACACGCACACGCGCGCGCACGCACACACACACACACACACACACACACACACACACACACACACACACACACACACACACGCACGCACGCACGCACGCACACACACACGCACACACGCACTCACGCACACGCACACACGCACGCACGCGCACACGCACACGCAGACGAACACGCAAACGCACCACACGCACACACACACACACATATACATTTTATCAAAACCGGTTAAGCAATTTAGTTTAAAAAAAATACTAGAATTGGCGACCTAACTAGTAATGTAACATAGTTACAAAGAAATACTTGAGAATCGAGACGTCTTCATCCGATTGGAAGTTGATTCGTAATAAATTTAAAAACTAAATAAAATTAAATCATTGTAATACTCGTATTGGGTTTTGGTAAACAAATATGCAAGTCAAGACACACGCAATTGTTAGTATATCAAATATTTATGTTTCTCAAACCAGTCTTAAACTTTCTCATACCTAATGCAAGTCCAAATTGTTCGAGCACAATAACATTCAAAGTTTCCAACAACAAATAAATATTATTTTAAACCGTCTTCAATTATGACAAAATCTAAACACGATTTAAAAACTAAACTACCAAGAACGAATGCCGCTGAATTGAAACATTTTTTCGGACACTACTGCCTATCCCTTCACCATAAGCTCCCCTAATCGTCTCTTACGACGCCCACGGGAAAGGAAGGGGTGGCCTATTCTATACCGGGTCCTACACAACTAAATATAGCCTACGGGTGGGGAAAGGGATTGTTAGTAATGAGAATCCCATTGCTAGCAATATACCCAACCAGGTCGACATCCTCGCGGTTCTCCCTGGAAACTATCAAGGTTAATTCACCCTTCACTGGTGCTCCGCCAGCGTATCCCGTTAGCGCAGGCGGGCTTACCATACCATTTTCACCCATAAAAAAATATATATAGCCTACGTATTTATTTATTTGCTTTTTTATATTAATTTATAATATAGATATTAAGTATATAACAAAAATGTACACAGACGGACTTATGCCTTAAAGGGATTTCTTCCAGTCAACCTTAAGAACACAAAAGGAGAAAGTATCTATAGGGTTTGTATATAAAGCATAACATATATTGTATTTTATTTGAAAAAAAAAATAAAAATTTTAATAATTAATGGTATAAATTATACATTATATGTATAAAATTTATAAATGTATAAATTATATGTATAAAATTAAATGTATTACTAAAATTGAATTTAACGTTAATTCAGTTATCATTAACTATATGTAATAGCTTTTAATTAACTTATTGTTGTCATATATAATTAATTTAAATTAAGTTATTACAACTATAAGCTTTCCT